TAATTGGCAAGGGATATTACCATCTGGAATGGATAAAGAGGGGGAAATTCATTTATATTATCTTTTTATCATTAAGTCATGCATAAATGGTACATTTCAGTTTATGATTATAAATCATAGCAGTTCAAAATATCTAACATTTGTGTGGTATACATTCAGTTTGCAGAATTCTTTCATGAGCATTTTGAGCTTCCCAAATGCTCATCAATCATGTGGCAGATATGAGAACTATCCCAATAACAAATACAGGAATGAGACTTACAGTGGGAAAATGGCTTGTCCAAGGTCACACAATTAGTAACAGGTAAATCTTGTACTTGCACCTAAATCTTATGAGTTCACAATCTATGTTGAAATTGGGAAAGAACAGCCTTATTTTGTAGTGTTACACTGGTGAGGCCTGAGACATTAGACTGCAACATTAGGGTTAGGTCACCTGTACCTCTTTTTGGTGTGTGTGTGAGAGAGAGAGAAATGCAAATTCTCAGGCTCCACTTCAGAACTCTGGGGTTAGGGCCTAGCAATCTGGTTTAATGAGTCCTCTAGATGATCCCCATGATTCTCATGCTGCTAAAGCTTAAGAACCCCTGGGCTAAAGCTTGAGAACCACTGTGCTAAAGCAATGATTCTCAGCCTTGGCCACACACTGGAGTCACCTGGGAACTTTAAAAACTACTGAGGCTTTTGTCCCAACCCCAAAGATTCTGATTTAATTGATCTACAATATGGTTTTCAACCACATCACTACTGACATTTTGGGCTGGATTATTATTTGTTGGCGGACCTGTCCTGTGCATTGCAAAATGTTTAACAGCATCACTGACCTCTACCCAATAGATGTTAGTAGCCTCCCTCTCCCCCACCACCAGTTGTAATAAATGTCTCCAGACATTACCAAATGTCCCCTGGGGGCCAAAGATGAGAAGCACTAATCTAGGGCCATGGCCCAAGCACTGGGATTTTTAAACGCTCCCTCAATCATGCTAATGTACAGCCACGGCTAGGAACTGTCACTCTGGAAGGTTCCTTTTAATGAGCAGCTTTGGATGTGCAATGGACTAAAGAACAAGAAAAGGTAAACTTTATAGCACTGGGTGTAAAGTTAGAATAAATCAACGTGCAGTGAAGACTCTGGCACTTTGCCCAGGAGTCAAGTATACAGGCTTTAGGGTGTAAATTTCACATCAACCATTGGCTCCTTACATTTTTGCTGACTTTCTGGCTGTTGGGTGTGTTCCAGAAAACTGACATAAACAGGTACTTCGCTCTTATCTAAAAATTCCCAACCAAGTAGATATTGCTTTGTGCTAAATATAATAGTGGACATCCTGCTTTCAGACCTAGTCCTTCTAAAAACAGGATGCTTATCAGTGTTTCATGTGATATAAGTCCTTCTGTAAATCTGTTTTGACAGGCTTAAAAAATTCAGCCTGTCAATTTTATGATGTTGATTTTGACACAATCCAAATCACCCATTTCTACATTAATTTGTGCCATTTAGTAGTATTTTAGTTTTCAGATGATGATCAGGGACTTTATATTTCAACTGTAGGAAAATCCCCTATGGAAGAACCAAGGCAAGTGTCCTTCGGTAAATCTGTTCTCCGCAGGCGGCCCTTTGCTGCCTCAGTGAGTGCTCTGTGGTGTTCCTCTGTGATCCCGAGAAGGGGAGGGCACGGTGTGCATTTTAGACCTTAGGATGTGCATCATCTCCAAGTGCCTGCTCTGCACCTCTTATAGGCTGAGCAGTCCCATCCCAGCCCAAAGTGATAGGTCTCCAAGAAAATAGTTTGTGACCTGCCCTCTTCAACCTGGGTCTGAAGTAGAACAGTATTTTCCCACTTTCTCAAGCAACAGTTGGTAGGTGATTGTTTTTTTCAACAATAAGAGTGGAAATGCTACTTTGAGAGACTGAGAAATAAGTTTTAAATAGAAAATAAATTACAAGATGAATGTGTTTTCAGGGCAAAATTGGTAATACTAAGAACTATGCTATATGCTTGGAAATTATAGGCCCTTTTATAGTAAAAATAAGAATTGACTGCTCCAAGGTGCCAGATTAACTCTGTGAACCAATTGGTAGTAGCTTGTTCACATTTTATAAAACCAACTAATTCTTTTCCCATAATCTAATTTATCCTAAGCAGTTGCTTATCTTTTTCTATCCTAGCCTAAATTGTTTCATCATTGTGCTTTTAAAAATTAAAACCTTTCGATTAGGCCTCCCAGGAAAGTACTTTAGGAAAAAGGATCATAAAAGACTGTCAATAGGTATTGTTTTTCATACAGTTCCACTTGTTTTTATGAAAGGCATATTCCTGTATGTACTTAGGAAGATTTCCAGAAGAAAACACAGTTAACAGTAGCTGCCTTTGGGCAGGAAGTTTAGGGGCCTTGATTGGAAGGGAAACATGCTTTTCGTTATACTTTTATACAGCTTATTTTTACCATTTAAAATTTTTTATTTTCAATTGTACATACTGGTATATAAAAGAAAGTACACGCTCCCTGTAGTCTTTCAGAAGTTCCAAAATGCCTCTTCTAATAAGAGAAAAATGGGTGAGCTGCACTCCATGCCTCTTTGATGCCTCTTCCTTTTGTATATGTTCTATTGCTAAAACAGAGTGAGCAGAAAGGAGACTTTAAATGTAAAATTACTCCAACGTTGGTTCCATGAATCAGAATAACAAGCAGGTCCTACGTGATTTGAGATTGGGTAGTTAAGGAGAGCCTCTTTGAAGAAGCCACATTTAACCAGAAAGGGAAGAAGTTGCCTCCAGGCAGGGGCTTAATTTCCCCTGACTGCATTGGAACAGTTACTATCCATACATCTTTCAGAATGGGGCAGATTTAGGTTGGGGAAGTCTACACTGTGATTGTATCTAACCTTTTCCTTCAATGAGTTTTTTCATTTCCCTTTGTCCATATTTCCCCAAAAGAATCAATGCTCACTCCTGGAGAAAAGAAAAATAACAACAAAAATAACAAACACCTATCTGTGTCAAAGAAATACAATTCTATAATATTTTGGGGCTCACCAAAACCATATCTTTCCCTCAGTCCTTCCTTTACACCTAACCCTAGTTAAAATTTTAAGCAAGCACGAAAAAGGAAAAAATTCAACTGAGATTGGCCCAAAACAATACATGCTCAGTTGTGGATTTTTCTGCATCATTTTTCTTAGCACATGTCACTTAGACCTTCACAAGATTTCAGAGTCTCCCTGGATAAGCAAGAAACATCCTTTTTTCTCTCATTATTGGATGTTTTTATTGGGAAATCCATCCAAGTGGATTTCAGGATCCTCTGCCTCTGGGAATGAACCAATAATAACATAACAGTTCAACTATTCCAAAGCATATCCTATGACAACCCCTACACATTTAAATTATATCTCTGTAGTCTTTAATGGAGAATTACATTTCTGGGATAAAATACCAAACTCTATAAAAAGAAGCTTTCAGGTGTTTTTTTCCTTTATAGGGGTGATTCATCCCAGAAATGGTGTTTTGCCTTTGCATGCATCAAGCATTAATAACCAGCAATCAGCAATGGTATAATTGTTAGCTTCATGAAAAATGTCAGAGTTTAGGGAAGTGTTTTTGTGAAGAGCCTATCAGTTATCCTTGGACAAAAGTTTATTTAGAAATTCTGAGAAGACTCCAACGAAGACTACTTAGAGTAAGAGGAAGAAGAGACTAGAGGCAGGACTGGAATAAAGACAAAGGTCCTTTTAGAAAACTATTCAGAAGAAAGGGAAATATATTAAAAGACTAAAGATAACTTCTAAAATTAAGTCAATATAGGATCTTAGCCATAAAAAAATAGAATTTTAGAGAGCTTTTGTTACTAAATTCTCAAAATGCATAGGTTCTGATTTTGTATCTATGGGATACTGGTTTCCCACCCTCTTTCAATGGACTCCCATTAATGACCACATTGACCATGAAATTAAACCTCACATAATGTTTTAGAAATGGTAGAACAGAAATTCGAAACTTAACTTAGAGTTACTATGGCGATAGGTACTTTGCAAAGAAAAAAAGACAAATGTATCTAGTTAGTAGGATAGTGTTTCCCACTGAGTGAAGAAAGTTTAAATTCTGAGTCACTAAGCAAAATTTGGAAAAGAAATTCATACCATTTTTACTCTTGAAAATGCATCATATATTCAGCAAAGACTTCCCCCTCTTAGGTAGCTGAACTATTCTTCTCCTTGTGCAATACCCCAATTAAAAGAATATCAGCAACTCCAGGGACTTCATGTTCTTGCTACTTACCACAGCCACTAGAGGGGTCCATCCTTTCATACCAACAAAGACTTTAAATTGTCAACATGAAAAAATAGATTTTCCACAAATGCTACAAACAGATCACAGGACCCACACTTTTCTCTGTATGATAAAGGCAAGTTTGAGTTTTAATAAAGAAAGGCCGCTTATGACACACGTACTGAAGCAGTCAGCTCCTTAAGCACAGAGGGAAAGATAAGTTCCAAATGGCTTTGGGTGTTAACCAGCTGACAAAGTCAGTACATCTTAAACCACTTCATTTTCCCAGTATTCTTCATAACCTCGCATTCAAAACTTTGACTGCTTGTCAGGAGACAATATTATCTCCCAATTCCACTAGCTGAAAATGATTTGCTTTACTTATGGTTTAGGAAGAACTGATAAGAGATGACTGCCTTGCTTCTCTGTTAAGCTATCATCCAAGCCCCACACTTTTGCTACTCTTTAAAAGTAGTTGTTACGACTATTATATGTAAGATCAAAGATTTATCTCTTCTGTTATTATATTTATCATTTTCCAAACTTTTCCAGATTGCTGAGTCTTTAAAACATGAAAAAAGGAGAAGAAGAACACTCTGTTATTACCATGCTAACTGGAAAGCATAATGAATAATAAAATGTAGAAATTTGGAAGATAATTAGAAGTATGTGTCCATGTATTCCATGCCAGCTCTGCCATTTCTTACTACTTTGTCTCCTTTTTTTCAGCTGTTGGCTGGGCGCTGGCCTTTTGATCACAATGACTTTGGCATATTTCTATGCAAGCTGTTCCCCTTTTTGCAGAAGTCTTCAGTGGGGATCACCGTCCTCAATCTCTGTGCTCTCAGTGTTGACAGGTAATGTGGTTCTTTCCCTTTACTCTTTTGTTGGATTTAGAAAAGCATTTTTATCATAAGAAGGGAAGTCAAGAAGCATTGAGAGTTGGTGCCTGGATAGTTGTTATTTCAAGTGAATTAAAATATTAACAGTCTTACTCTACCGTTTAGAATTGCTTTTCACATTTACTGATTATTAGTCATCTTTGGCTTAGGCAATTTGCATCTAGAGCATTTTGTCAATTATATTCATTTGGCAGTCTAATGGCAACAAAAATTCTAATTAAAAAACATATTAAAAGGAGTAGAGATTGAACAGCCCTTCTAGAAAACAAAATCCTACTGAAGGTTTGCCTTCTAATTTAGTAATAGGGCATAGATTCCTATTTCTGGTATTGGTTTGCCTCACCCATACCATCCCCACCATGCGTGGAAAAAAATTAACTGAACATTCAATTACAAATTATCAGTTCTGTATCAATGTTCTTAATATTTGTGTGTGTGTTTTTTAAGACAGAAAAAATAATTTCAAGCATCTACAGGATGTCCCCCAAAAATGTATACACACTTAACAGTTGATAACTCAATTAATGTTTCTTTCTTTTCAGATTTAACCCATTGGAATTAATAATTATTATTAATAATAATTATTCAAAGTGTGTAAACATTTTTGGCAGACACCCTATATTTTACTAAGACTTGGTCTCAGTTTTAGGTCAAGAAGATAAGCCATTTTAAAATTCCACTCCCACAAAAATCTACTTGAATCCAGGAATTTTTTCCTTGGTAATAAACTCATCATTCTTTGTTTCATTGGTCCTTTTTTATTATTTTTACATTTTATGTGGTATTGACTCTAAGCTTGGGGACCTGCATGTAGGGAATCTATTTTGACATTTCTGTTTCAAAATGTTTCACGCGAGAATGAATCATTCACAGTTAGTTCCTGAAGATAAGGTACCTTTACTTTGTCTTGATTTGGTTGCATTGCATTCTACTAAAAATATGAAAATCTTTCTTTTTATTTCTTTTACTAAACTAAAGAGGAAAAAAAGGAAGTTGGAACCTTTTACAAAACAATTTGAAACTTGGGAATCCATGCCATTAGTGTATGAGCTGAGTCAATTATGGCTCAGAAAGACTTTTCATGGTTTTTTTTAATATTTTTTTTTAAAAATATCAGTTAGCTCTCATTTCAGAGTTGTTTTGGGGGGGGATAATGAGAGTAACTGTACATCCAAGTTCTATACAGTTTCTTTATTATTTCATTGATTGCTCAATTAATACAGGATGCTGTGGGATCAAAGAAAAGTTTTGTTAGCTTTTAATCTGAATAAGGTAAACAAGAGATGTAACCTTTTGACTAATTCCTCCTCAAATATAACTCTTATTTATTTGTATTTTACATCCATAGTCACTTAAGAAAAAGATAAAGTGGGAATTTCAGAAAAAGAATGAGGAAATTTAGAAACCTATTTTGATCCCTAATTCAGCTTTATCAGTGAAATAATTTTTTAAATGCTAAGGTAGTATACTTCTAAAAGTATACTCCTATAAGTATATTTCTAAAATGAATAAATTTTCCCAGCAAAATATGAATAATCAACCATTACCAATAATTAAAATAGATATTCTTACATTCCATAAGTGATGGATTTTTTAAACCTACTTTAAGAAAAATTTATTGATTTTGAGAGAGAAAGAGAGAGACCTCTCTCATAAATAAGTGGAATTTGTTATTCCACTTATTTATGTATTCATTGGCTGATTCTGACAGAGTATTCAACTCTAAACCTTCCTTCCTGTATTGGGACAAATCTCAAACCAACTGAGCTACCCGCCCAAGGCAGGTGGCAACTTTGAGTTTGGGGAGGAGAATTCAGTGCTGTTCTTTGTAGTTAGCAGTCGTATTTAAAGTGGAAGATGATGGAGGTTAGACCAGTAAAAGGGTTTGGGTACAGATTCAACTTCTAGTTAAAAGTTGCCTGGAGAAGGAGGCTGTAAAAAGATAAAACTCCTTTAACAACTACTCCAGAATGATGTATAATTAGACACCTGGAAAAGTTGCAAAGATTGATTAATAAGGCAACTTTGATAGGTCTCAAACTCAAAAGTTTATGTCAGTTCTTCATCCCATAATTTCAAATAACTGCTCAGTGGGCTCTGTGATATTATCAAAGGTTCATCCTAATTTAAGAAGCATGAAGGGGATTTTCTGAAAACCTTCCTTTGTATTTAGACATGAACTTAGTTCTCCTTACTCTCCTGGTGCTATGGTTTTCCTTTGCTGGATGGCAATAGTGAAGGCGTGGAAGAAATGGCTGAGCCAGAAGAGAAAACGTGGGGACTGAAGAAAGTCCAACGCTGGCTGTAGGGCAACTTGGGATCTCATTTGGGGTTCTGTTCCCTAATAGTTATTCATTCTTTATCTTAATTCTAATGTCAAAATCAGGCAACTGGTTAATTTTGCTAGCTCATTTTTCTTTAATAACCAACTACCCCAAGACGGTGGTTTAAAAGATCCACCATTTTATTATTATCGTACCACAGACAAGTCTTCTGATCCTTGTCACTTTGACTGGGGTCTCTTGGTGGATTTCAGCTGGCAGCTGAGCATCTCCTTGGTGCAAGACTCACATGTCTGGCCTGTTGGCAAGAAAAGCTGAAAGTCTGAGCTCAGCAGAGCCCATCTCCCTCTCCATGTAGTCTAGGGCCCCTCGACACATTCTGCCCAGCAGGCTCAGGGCTCCAAGGGGAACCTGTTGCTCTGCTTAGAGACCAGACCTAAAAGTGGCAAAGCATTGTTTCAGCTGCATCCAAGTTGAAGGACTCAGCTGAAAAAGTGTCACAGTATTTGCTGCTATAATTTAGTTTTTATGTTTTCTAAAATCATTTTTTAGTTCATTTTACTGTTGATACTATGACAGATGTCCGCATTTTCCTCCCCTTTGCCCACCTCCACCCAGCCCCCACCTACCCCCTTCCCTCTGGCCATCACCACGCTGCTGTCTGTGTCTATGGGCAGCTATCTTTTAATCCACCACACTGTGTTTCTCTTTAAAATTCTCACACCTAGTATTTTGCCTCCAAACCTCTCTATGGCAATTGGGTTGTCTATCACATGAGACATAAATCATAAACAAACATTAAAAATACAGTCAGGTTTGCTGTTAATCAAAAATGTGCAGAGGTTAAGACAGAAGTGCCACTTTACCTCATGAAAGTGGGAAATTGAAAGAAAAATAATAAATTCTAATGTAGGCAAATTTTGATAGGCACTTGGTAGGAAGGTTTTTTAACATACTTCAGTTACCTTTCTATTTCTTTAATTCAATAACCCTACCCACTCAAGATAATTAATCCTGGAAAATCATTCAAAAAGAGAAAAAAAATATTTGTAGGTGTGTTATTCACAACCTTCAAAGGCTAGAAATATGAACATTAGAGAAAGGTTTAAGTAAACTGCATCAGTATCTTATTATACAGGGTAACCATTAAATTAATAAATGATATGCCTCTGTAGAAACATGAGAGTTTTTTATAATCTAATGTAAATAAAGCTAAAATAAAATTATAACTGATTTTTATATTCAAACTATGCTTATTAGAATAGAAATGGACAAATAAGAAGAAGAAATAAAAGATTTTGTTGAAGTACTATCTTTTGAATTTGCTTTTTATACTGTTTAAAAGCACATTCAATAATAAACTTTTAAAAATTTAATGATCATACTAGACCATACTGTAAAGATTCAAAACATGCATCAAACATCTCTGGCCTTGATAAAAATCTATTTTAAAAAATACAGGGTGTGCCCTAACCGGTTTGGCTCAGTGGATAAGGCGTTGGCCTGAGGACTGAAGGGTCCCAGATTCGATTCCGGTCAAGGGCATGTGCCTTGGTTGCGGGCACATCCCCAGTGGGAGGTGTGCAGGAAGCAGCTGATCGATGTTTCTCTCCCATTGATGTTTCTAACTCTCTGTCCCTCTCCCTTCCTCTCTGTAAAAAATCAATAAAATATATATTTTTTAAAAATACAGGGTAGGGCAAAAGTATAAGTGTATAGTTGTAAGTACTGTGAAACACAGTGTATTCTTGTATCATTATTTATTAATGATTTTATTATTTTCTGCACAAACAACTGTACACCTACTTTTGCCCCACCCTGTATATAGTAACCAACAACTTTACATAAAGAAAACATGTAATTTATACTTTTATTTTGGCATATCACATGACAGGGTACAAAATTCACTGGAGACCAGGCAGAGGACATGGTAACACGCCAGTCCTCAGGCTCCTAACTGGAACATAAAGGGGAGGAAGATCAGCCCAAAGGTCCCTCCTGGCTTTTTAATTATTTGATTCTAAAATTCTAAACATATTAGCTCTTTATCTGTTGTTTTATTCAGGGCTGGCTTGAAAAATAAGAAAGTGTTCACAATATAGTGTTCTATCGACTTTAGCCAATAAAGACAAATGCATGGTAAGGAAACAAAGACATTTAATTTAATAAATATTTATTCAGCATCTATTGTTCTAAGTATTGTTACCAACACACAAAATGTCTACCCTATGGAGTTTCTATTCTAAAGAGAAGGGTGGGCACAGACAATAAAAAAATAGATAAGTAAAATATTTGACTGGTCTCATGGTAGTAAGTGTTATGGCGAAAATATATTAGGGTTAGCAGTACAGGTAAGTTTGAGGGGATGCTGGCAATTTTAATAGGATGTTCGGGGAAGGCCTCTGTAAAAAGGCACAATTGAGTAAAGACCTAAGGGAAGTTAAAAAGCAGCTCTGAGGTTACTGGGAGGTATTCCCATTGGGGTGGGAAACCATTGGGGCATTTGAGAACAGGAGTGACATGATTGACTGATGTTTTAACCTGGTTTCTGTGTTCAGGGTAGATTGCAGTAGGGCAAAGTGGATGCAGGGAAACCAGTTAGGAAGCTATTGCTATAATCCAGGCAAGATGGTAACAGGAGAGGTGGTGAGAAGTGATTGCATTGGAAATATTGTGAAGGAAGAGTTTGCAAGGTTGGCTAAATACTTGGCTGTTTGGTGGAAGAGAAAAAGAGGAGTGAAGGCTGACTTCAGAGTTTTGGCCTGAGATGGTAAAGACTGAAAAGAAGGCAGGCTTGGGGACAAGGAAGAAGACTGGAATTAGGTTAGGTTTAGTATTTGCCTACTAAATACCTGAGTAGATATCTCAAGTCTAGAGTTAGAGCTGAGGTTCTAGGCTGGAGTTATAAATTTGAGAATTATTTATCAGCATATAAAAAGTTTAAACGATATTAAAGCCATGAGACTGGAGGGATCACTAAGAGGAATATGCAGGATCCAGCTAAGGAAGTAAAGAGTAGCCTGTGAAGCAGGAGAAAAACCAGGAGAATGTGGGGGAAGCGAAGAATAGAAAGCATTTCAAAGAGGAGGGATTTTTTTCTCAAATATCAGTTATTGGAGGTAGGATCTACACTTGCAGATTTTCTTTGATGACTAGATTGAAGGCTATTTATAATCACACATAGTAAGAAGAACCTATTTGAGTAGATATGTGCTGTGTTATTATATTCCAAAAGAAATCACTTTGGGAACATCCAGTTTTTAAAATTTATTTTTATTGAATTTATTGGGGTGGCCTAAAATTATATAGGTTTCAGATATACAATTCTATAATACATCAACTATATATTGTATTGTGGGACCCATTGGCACAGTCTCCTTGCTCACCTAAACTGGGTGCTCCAGGAATGATCCTTGTGTGAGTTATGTGGGCCCTCCTGTTGTAATTGAGTCTTGATTGCTATTGACCCCATTCATGCGTGGGGTGGACCCTCAGGCTGGTTGAATGGGAGGGTCGATCCCTACCATGATGTACAAGCTGCTCTGCAGATACTGACCACAAAAAAGCAGAATTCACCTCAGCAGGGTCTGATACCTGCTAAGATCTCCCTTTGGATATGCTGCTTGTGAAGCCGCCTGGATCCTGCTCTGGTGTTCTCTGAAGCTGCCCACTGGGTGTGTGGGGGGCCTTCAAGAGTTGAGAAGATGGGGCTAGTGGATCTCCCATGAAAGAGAGGTGCAGGTCAGGCTTGAGGGAAGGTGGGGGAGTAGCCCCCACCCCAGAGCCATTCAACTCAGTTACTGACATCCCTTAGTCTGCCAAGACCTCTACAACCCAGCCCAGGCAGCTGACTCCTCAGGGCACAAGCTCCCAGGATGGTGCAACAGGGAGTCCAGAGTGTGAGGCAATTGCATTCCCCCAGGCTAACGTATATGGAGGGGAGTGCTCCACCCAAGTAGGGAGGCGTCTGGGGTGTGGGAGAGGGACTCAGCACAGAGATCCTGGCAGTTGTCCCTTCAGCTCTCTCACAGAGCCATAAAGCCCAGTCTCTTTTCACGTGATTAGTCCAATCTGCCTTCCCTCTGCTGGAGCCCAAGGTGAGTGGCTCTGAATGAGATTTTTGTGCATTGGCCCTTTAAGAGGGTGCCTGTGTCTAGCAGACTCTCCTGGCCCCCTGACAAATAGAATCCCCACTGATTTTCACAGCCATGTCTTCCTAGCTCTGATGCTCTGGTCTGGGAAGCCTGGCTTGGGGTTGAGACCGCACACTTCCCAGGAGGAACCTTTTCAGCTGAGATACCCCTCCAAAACCTTAGCTGCCATGTGGTGGAGTGGGGCTAGCCCTTTCCCCAGTTCCACCCTTCTTCTGTAAATCCTTGGTTGTAAGACTTCTCTTAAGCTAGCCTTCAATTGGTTATTCAGGTTGATTGCTCTACATTTTAGTTGTAATTCCAGTCTGGTCCTGGGAGGGGGTGAGTGTAACATCCACCTACCCTGCTGCTATCTTGGATCCAAGCATTTCTTATTTTCCACAACTTTCCCCACCTCCATCATCACAATTGTTTCTAATTGCTCTTATGGTTGTTTTCTCATTTCATAGAGATTTTATCAAGATAACTATGATGACAAATGGAAAATATTCTAGTTCTCAGTCATGTGTGTTAATGAAGGAGCAGACTGATTATGAATAATTTACTAAGATAGACACTAAAAATTACTTCTATTTGTTTTTAAATATTTAATTTACATTGGATTATAGACATGTCATATTCTGGGAACTCATGTCACATTATAAAATGAAGCTAGTCTTTGAATATATTCATTATAAGTACATGTTGACTACATTTAAACCACTTTCTATCTCTAATCCTGCCTAAGACATCTGGTTTTCTTACTCCCTTAAGAGAGTATTTTAAAGTATTTTATTTAAGTCACCTTTCCTGATAACTGATCTGAGAGGAGGAGAGAAGAAATAGATACTAGTATAACTCATTGAGAGCCTCAGGATATAGACATTCAGTCTCCATTCCTTTTTTACTGAACTTCAGGCTACCAGTCTAATAGGGCAACAAAGAAAAGTAAACAGAAATGAGTAGCAAAATAAATAGCAATCTTTATCCTACTGAAAATAACCATAAATTTAAAAATGCAATCTTGGCCATATCGTAAAAGGATTTTCTTGGTCTCTTTGCATAGCTGTATTTTATTCCATTCTGAACTCATCTGGACTTTTTTAGAGATTGTACTGCACCCTAAACTATTTACCCTAAAAATCTTTTGCAAAACATTTCTCCAGAAAATTGTGCTGTATATATCCCATGTGGCATCATTGTGCATACCAAAACTATAGACTCTAATCTACCGTGAAGAACAAGATAGCATAATTCCAAGAAGCTGTGTTTTCACAGATGTACCTTAAAGATATACTGAGATAGAACACTGAATTTAAGTGATGGGACTCATCTTGGTAGATATGGGTAGCTTGTAAGTTGCCTGGCTTCCCTGACTAATCTTCCACATTAAGTTGCATATCCTGCGAACCCATGTGTACCTGTCTCCAATGCCTTGATCTGTTTTATAGCCTTCTGGCTCTATCTCATGAAGCTATAAAAAGGAGAGTGTTTCTTTTCCATTACAACAGCAACAAAAATTTCAAGAATGAAGCCACAAAAATACCATACTACATCACAGGTCATTTCTTAGTACTAAGTCTGAAAGTAGTTAGCATCAGACCATCACATCAGATCAAAGACCATAGAGTTTCTGAAACCAATCTTTCTTTAAACTTAACATTTAAATGTGATTATTATCACAAAAATATTAAAGTAAAAAAAAAGGTAAACACAATTTATTAATGCCAATTTGTTTTTTAATTGACATAATTGTTCAGTTACATTTATATTCTATGCTTCTATAAAAACTGTTCTTTTCTATTAGACTATAAATACTAAAGATTAGAAATCAATGTATCTTTAAGTCATTTTTATATATTCTAGCTCAGGACCATAATAAAAGTGATATAGTCATTCTTTGACATTTACCAGAAATACTCTCTATTTACTAAAACTGCCACCCAGTAGAGGTCCACTGTAATCATATTTTGAGGGTAGAAGAAAAAATGATGGACTATCTATGGTCACTATTCACTTAATGATATCTAGCTCCACTTCGTAGATAAGATTTCAAATGTTATTCTGTAATATATAAAGAGAAGTAAGATATTACCATTACAAGTACCAGCAGCTTTCACTACCTCTTCTATCATCCAATTTCCCCCCTCTACCCCTCCCCACTTAAGAAACATCGACACACTGCCCTGGCTGGTGTGGCTCAGTTGGTTGGAGTGTTGTCCCATGCACCAAAAGGTTGAGGGCTGGATGTCCAGTAAATGCACATATTCAAGTTGCCGGTTTGATCCCTGGTCAGATGGTGCAAATGGGAAGTAACCGATGTTTCCCTTGCACATTAATGTTTCACTCTCTCTCCCTCTCCCTCTCCCTTCCTCTCTCTCTAAAATCAATAAAAACATATCCTTGGATGAGGAATTAAAAAAAAACCATAGACACTCCTATCTGATGCTGCCACATCCTATATTCTCACAAGGTTATGCTAGATGCCAAATGAAGAGCTCAGACTCAGACCTGCCAGGCAATCGATTTCCAAATGGGTCGGACTTTTAACAGCCCCACTTGTTTTTCACACAAGAATGCCAAAGTAAGTTCCTAAAAAGCCAATGGTTGGTCACTGGCCAAGGGAGGGAACCTGCCAGCATTTATAATTTTTTTGATTGAAATTATTCAAAATTTCCTAACACCTTGGTTCCATTGCCCCATTTTTATTTTCAGGTACAGAGCTGTTGCTTCCTGGAGTCGTGTTCAGGGAATTGGGATTCCCTTGGTCACTGCCATTGAGATTGTCTCCATCTGGATCCTTTCTTTTATCCTGGCCATCCCTGAAGCAATTGGCTTCATCATGGTGCCCTTTGAATACAAGGGTGAACAGTATAATACCTGTATGCTCAATGCCACATCAGCGTTCATGAAGGTACAAATAATTTAAAGGGAATTAACTGGGGAGAGGAGGAGGTCTTCACTTTTACTTACCATCACCATGACTTGTTGATACCTCTGCAGTGCCCAGTGTGGTTTACTCTATTAGTTCAGTCAAATATTCTTCAGTTGCATAAAAAGTAGATGTTAAACTAGGGCTTAGTTTCTTGAATAGAACAATTATTTTGTTTTTAATTTTATAGCACAACTGTAGATACAATTTTTGTTCTCTACCAAAAAAACCCAGAATTCTGAAATGCATTTATTAGGAAAGAGAGATTATATGTATAAAGTGCTACTTCCTATATAATGAAAGCCTAATATGTAAATTGACCAAACTGTGGAACGATTGGTCACTATGACGCACACTGACCACCAAGGAGCAGACACTCAATGCAGGATCTGCCCCAGCCCAAAGGCCCCAGGACAGCAAAGGCGGGTGTGAGCTGGCTGCCCCCCCCCCCCCCCCCACCGATCGCCCTGCCAGTTGCCCTGCAGAGAGAGGCGACTGGCAGCAGCAGGGGGCGGGGCTGGGGAGTAGGCAGCACCAGGCCGGCCAAGGTGGGTGCCAGCAGGGGGGCCCCCCAATTGCCCCACAGATCGGCCTTGATTGCTGGCCAGGTTTAGGGACCCTACCTGTGCACGAATATCGTGCATTGGGCCTCTAGTGTTTTATAATAAGGAATACAGCACAACTTCCATCTGACAGACATGCTGATACTTATTTTTGGTTACTCAGGGAAATATATGTTGCTCACACATTTTTTAAAGGTAGATTTAACTCAAAGTAGGAAGAAAGTTATATTTGCATGTACAAATAATATAAATTTGCAGAATTTTTTAAAAAGTGTTCCGTTTAACAAATTCAGTTGTTGTTTAGTACATCTGGTCACATTAATGTTTCTCTGAAAAGCTTAATCACATGAGTGTATCAGGAAACATACTTACAATGCATATTACCTTTGCAAAACTAGTCAAAGGTGGACTGAGGAGGAAAACCAAAAGGATAACTATTTCACTTAAATCAGCATAATTTAGTGCTTTGATGTAAATTTCATGCAGCTCAGATTCCACATTTAATCACTTTCAGACATCTCAAGATATGTTTTCCTAACTTGGAAAATTCACAAAATTAGTGGTTTTACAGTTGACCAGTTATCCTGCTTGGACATTCTTGTTTTAAAATTAAAACTATTCATGAAAGCTGCCAAACTGGCAACCTTAAAATTAAGGTCTGTTTATCTACTGACTTTTTTATTACGTCAAACCTTCATAGTGGAAAACAAAGTAGTCAGTAGGAGGTTATCAGAATTTGGGCAGTGTAAATAGGCAACCTAAATATTTCTGAATAAAATGTTCGGGAGAAAAGGCTCAACATAGGAACTTACTAATCACTAGAACTTGACAAAAAGAAAAGGGATACTTTGTAATGACTGAGTCTCCTTTATAAAATGGTCAAGCAATGTTTTTCCTTCAGGCAGGAAAAGCCTAGAGGGTTGTAGTAAAGGGTATGAGTATGAAATGATAATTTTTTTAAATTTGAGAGTCTCTTTCTCCTCTTGTTTTTTGTTTGTATTTTTCTCTCAAATTTTATTCTTATTCTTTGTTTCACACTTTCCTCCTACACTTTGCTCTAACAGGCTGGAGGGAGGCCCCTCCATGCCCTTGCTGATGACATAAGTTCAAAAGGAATTTGTGACCCCTTTCTCTATAGGCCTCTGCCATGGAGGGGGCAAGGGGACTCTGTCCAGGCCCCTCAGGGGGTCATCTTTCAGGCCCTCTGTAACTGCATTTGAGCATTCACACCAGCCAGCAATGCACCTGGAAGAAGGGGATACAAATTGAAGAGGGTACTTAAAGGAGTGTTTGTATTGTACTCAAAGGAAACGAGAGTCCTGATTTTTTCTGTTTGTTTGTTTGTTTGTTTGTTTTGTAAGCTCCCTACAGAAATCTTTCTACAGTGTGATGTGGATAGGGAAAGATCTGCATAAAATGGGAGTTTGACTTAACCTGAAGTTAAAATCCAGAGGTCTGTTCACTTGAATGAGAAAGAAATTACATGTTTATTTTCACTAACTAATAACTAAAATTTATCACTTCTTTCTATTATGAATATAGGCAACAAACTACAATAGTATTTAACAGTACCACATTTTTGTCACTAATAGAAATAATACATTTTCATACCATATAACATTTGTATAATCTTGCAATATCATTTACAGTCATCATTGCTTCAACATTCTGATAGTTATTAGAACCACCATTGGATATGTTATTTAATTTGTTAATAAAAACCTATATTACTATATCAAAATTTTATTTTTAATGTTTTGATACTGTTTCTGTGTAACTAGTTTCCGTTATAATCGTACATATTTTATTTATGCATGTAAAGATATTATTCCCAGAAAGGATTACAGTCTTCCCCAGACTTCCAAGAAGGTCTATGGCATAAAAATAGTTAGGAACCTCTGCCCAGAACTTTTTTTCCTCAGGAACCATTTATAGATTATCTTAATAAACATGCTATAAATGTATCCCACTGTGCCTCTTCTATATTCAGAAACTGTCTAGTTTTTCACAGAGCAACATGATTAGTTTTTACTGTGGGAACTGAGATATTATAACTGCATTATCCATAGTAAATAAACAATCTAAGGAAACAGAATAAGGAAAAGAAAAGCATTTCTTCCCAAGTTGATAATTAATTTAGTGGGAAGAAGAATGTAGATATAATTTTCCAATTTCCATTTTTATAGGGTATTAAATTTTCTTCTTTAAAAAGACATAAAAGTGAATAATCCTAGTATTTACAACTCCTGCCCATAGGGAGATCATGCTAAATATGCCTTCAGATAAGGTACTCTGTCTTGATAGTTTCCAGGTGGTAAGTATTAAAAAGAGTGAGAAGGGGCGTGATTATTTATGGCTCAAACTGGCTAGCTAAAAGGTCACATAGCAGGCATACCAGGCAAAGGGTTAACTCCTGGTAACCAAAGCTACACAGATAAGCCATTCATAACCTTCCCTGTTTCCAAACAAGATATTCACATTAAGTACACTTTGACCGTAATAGCCAAAAGTAAACCAGACATTAGCAAAATTTTGAGGCTCACTAATAAAGATAAATATATATTCTGTATGTCTCAGAATCGTTTTGTGAGCTTTGGAAGGGAATTCTTTTTATTGATTAGGGCTCTTCCATTGTACAATTAAGGTGTCTTATAAAATATATCTTTCTTTTAATGCAGTTTATTCATGTGCTATTTTATAAAGACAGGATAATTTCTAGAGTTGCCAATTTAATTGGGTTTTGAGCACCACCCCAAGCTCATTGCCACAACCAAAGAGCATGAATATAAAAATGTATCTGCAAACATGAAGATTTTTAAGGACCCAGAGGCACTACACAGTTAATTTACCTTATAAAGTTCCCTCCTTCTCTCTCCCTTTTCTTCATTTACAGTTCTACCAAGATGTGAAGGACTGGTGGCTGTTTGGCTTCTACTTCTGCATGCCCTTGGTGTGCACCGCAATTTTCTACACCCTCATGACTTGTGAGATGTTAAACAGAAGGAATGGAAGCTTGAGAATTGCCCTCAGTGAACATCTTAAGCAGGTAAATGTAATAAGATTATGAAAATCTGGCCAAGACTATTTTGTCCTTGACAACAAAAGGCTTACAAATACTGTATTTCAAGATTTAGCCTGCTTTCCTGAAAATAAAAATACTGTCTTGTTTGCTTGTATGTCTTATTTTCTTTATAGTTATAATATTAGGTTTTTCTTTTGTGAAATAGGGAACCTAACTGGATCCTAGGCCCAAATGGAGGAACTATTTACTGGTTTTGCCAAGAGTATATTGACCATGTGTGTTTGTGTGTGTATCCATTGAATTTGGCTTGGAACTCTGCCAAGACAAAAAGGAGCATATGACTGTCTCCCCTAGCAGGCTTTGCAGTATTGTTGTGGAAATAAAATACAAACCTGGAAACAACTGGAAAATAGAATCACAAGGTGTGGCAAAAGTAGCCTATGCTATAGAAATCCAGGGAAGATATGAGACTAAGTCATGGAAAAACTGTTCGTGGATGAAGGGGATTGAATTGTTCATGGAAGATAAATGGGATCGATGGGAAAGAAAAGGCCAGCGGGTATTTCAGGTGGGAAGATAGGGGTCAGTTATAACATGACATGGAAACCACCCATTTGAGGAGTGAGAAAGGAGATGAACCTCATTAGAGCAACATCAACAACATCAAAGATGAGACTCTTGACAAGAAATGTGATCCTATATATTTGAAGAGGTCAAGTTTTGGAGCAACCAAAATTCTAGAATGAATTTAAATATGTCAATAGGAGGCTGCTATTAGTCCCTCCAGGGAAACAAGTAGAACAGAGCTTTAGAGGGGGAAACTTGGGTCTTAAACTTGCTGGCTCTGTGGCATTGGGGAAATTGCTTAATCTCTCTAAGCTTCTAGTTCCTCTTAAAAATATATAATTGCCCTGATCGGTTTGGCTCATTGGATAGAGCATTGGCCTACAGACTCAAGGGTCCCGGGTTCGATTCCGGTCAAGGGCATGTACCTTGGTTGCGGGCACATCCCCAGTGGGGAGTGTGCAGGAGGCAGCTGATCGATGTTTCTCTCTCATCGATGTTTCTCTCTATCCCTCCCTCTCCCTT